TTTTGGGAAACCCCCATGTGTGCAGCAGTTAGGAGAAGACATGGATAGACACTGAAACGGTTTGCTGGCATCTTCGGGCATGGAGCCCTGCTGCACAACCCAAAACAACCTTAGTACGGCAAGCCCCGCAAAGGAGGCCCAGAAAGGCAAGCCTTAGGAGCGATGCATGAAAGAGCAAGAAGGCTCCCGTTCCCTGTTCTCGTGTTGGCCAAAAAAATGAATCAAAAAAGTTACTTAGAAAAAAGCACCATGAGTCATAACTGTGGCCAAGTAGAGTTTTCGTGATCACAAGACCCAGGCATGAAGCGAATTCCTTCAATTGGACCAGGTCTTCCCTCGTCAAACGGCTGCTTGGTGTTTGCAGGGTGTCTGGACATGTGGCCAAACCAACTTTAAAGGGACAGTGCATGCAAATGAGGCGCTGCTAGTGACAAACCCCTGATGTGCCATGTCTCAAAGAACATATTCGGCTACTATTCAGGCTAGTTTTGCCTGGTGTGCGGGGAAATCTCTTGTCAGCGGAAAAAGGATGTTCCCTGTCTGCCCTCAGGGAAGGTCACGCAAGCCTGTCCTGCATAAGCCTGTTCCTCTCTTTGAAGAAGGGCTCCAACTCCGAGGTATCCTTCAAGAAGTAGAGGGATCTAACCACCTCGCCTTGGCAGGAAGGCATCCAACTCTGCAAAGAGGTTCTTTGCTCCAGCCAGGAGCTCCCTCATCCTAAAGGCTAGCGACCCATACCCCTACTTACCCAAACAATCCACACACGGAAAGGTCAGAAATTTGATACCATGCAGGTCGTGCTGCGCTGACCGTGGGCTCCGAAGATCTGCTGCTGAAGGTAGTTTCGCAGGGCCGCCTCCTTGTGAAATGCTGCAGCTGGGATTTGCGTCCCTAAATCCTGCAGAACCTTTTACCTAACATGTCCCAGCACGACATCCTCCAACCCTAATCTCAACAGTCTAAACTCTAGGATTCTGCTGTCTACACCCCAATGGTAGGTGCCTTCCAAGGTAGGGAAGTGCCAGTGAGGGACGGCAACCATGACTGTCTAGGAATAGCAAGACAAGGAATGCATATAACAACACGAATCAAAGCGATACCCATCACTCTCCTCATCATCATCACCAAAAGTAGTCACAGTAGTCGTCGTAGTATTAGAAATGATGGTCAAGAAAAAGTACTTCTCGGAGTTGTAGCAGTAGGCTTCGGTCATAGCATCTCAAGTCCGACTACTACATCCCTATAAAGCCTCAAGCAACACCAAAAATCTCTACGGACCCTGCAAGAACCAAAAAAAAATGTGAGCATCCCTAGGAGGTCCTTACAGCAGAGTAGTGCTTCCATCTGCACTACATCCCCAGAATCAGGTCAGGGTATTTTTGGTGGCCGAACCAGAAAAGAAGATAATCTTTACCCTATATGGGGGAATCCATAAACAGGGGGACCCAATGTAAACCCCAAAATAATGCAGTCCTGATCATAGGTACCCAAAATGGGACCCCTAATGTTTGGTGACCGTTACAGTGTGCCCCAGCCAAATCCAAGTGAAGAGGGCTCCTGACGCAGATCTGGGGGGATGTTGCGCAGCAGCACTGAATTTGCCCTGGGCTCCGGCATAGTCCTGTGATGCGGAGTAACATGGTGTAGGTGTAAGGGTTTGAAGGTTTGGGGATTTCATGCTTTAGGGTTTGGGGGAGTGAGTGCTTGAGATTTGGAGCTTGTACAGCATTGAGGATTTCCAGTTCACGGCCTGTGGTCAAGCTTTGGAAATCTAGAGCCACCACTTTGCTCATGGATCCTGGTGTGCCACCTGGCCAAATGCAGGTAAGCAGTGGGCTTTTGGCAATCCACCGGACATCTATTCCATCTAGAGGAAAAAAGAAGTGCTGTCCAGCAGAGTGTTGCACAAGTTCCTCATATGACGCTTGAAGTTTCTCAGTGAATAAAGGATGGAAGCACCATCACAGCTGGTGCTCTCTTCGTTCTGGTTGTTCCGGTTACCTGTTCCTACTCCCAACAGTACGGCCGCCTGAGCCACTGGAAGCGTTTCTGGACGAAGCCCCGCTGGGCACGCAGAATGAAGGCCTCCGAAATCAGTCTTTTGGGGCAGCATGGGGCAGGGAGTGAGGCAATTGTTGAAGGCTAGGGTTGGCATCTGTGGGCCTTCAGGCTGCAGAAGCCCTTCCCTGATATTTCAGTCCGGAGAGCTGCCTGTGATACTGCAGCTAATTAGCCCTTTTGCAGTTCCGACGCTCACATGCCCGTGCCCGCCTGGGTGACAATCACCGTGTACCAGACAAAGAAGGGATGCACCCATGTCACGGCACTGCCCTGCACCACATTGCCGAAGCCCACGCGGCTGAGGTTGTCGGAGCCAGCAGCATCACCACCACGAAAAAAATGCAACGGGCAAAGGACCAGAACAGCGGGGAGTCCTGTGGACCTCAGCTTCGACTGTTAGCAACTTCGTTGACTACTTAGACCGTCCACCAAATCGAGTTCGGGGAAGATGGCTTGGTGTGCTCATGGGAGCTGAGCTTGGGACAGCAGGCACATCATAGCTGTGTCGCAGAATTCGATGAACATTCCGTGATCCAGATTGGCATGGTTTGCAACTTCTTCCACAGGAAGCCTGCGCTGCACCAGGGAAGCATCAAGCCCGTGGTTTGTTAGAATGGGCACACCTATGCTCGCAATTCTTCTCGGCTTGGTGATCCACTCAACGCACCTTCATTAAAATAGTAAAACATGGGTGGGGGGTGAACCCCAACATGCTGTGGGTGTACAAATGTGCTGATTGGGCCTGTGCCAAAACAAAAACGCTGTATTACGAGCCGTCAACCCGAAGCCCTCCATTCAAGAGGCTTTGAAAACAAAGCTCCTGCCGCTTCAGCTGTACATACAAACGACCAGTTCTTTGAGAAATCGCCTGCTTCACAAACACCCGGGAGGAGAGAAGATGCCACGAGGCCCTGTCCGAACCTCGGTATCCTGTCAAGCGCTAGGGGCCACTCTTACATTTTTACATACAGCAGTTGAATGCCTCGTGCTCAGAAACCCATAACTGATCCTCCCACAAACGGTACTGGAGTACTAACATCTCAGCACCCTAAAACCCACGCAAACCCTAACCCCACGCCCTAAACC